TAAGAAACAGTGAACCCCTGAGCCCATCACCATGGGCTCTTAATGGGCCCAACACTTAAAACTAAGTGGTCCCTAGGTCAAGCCACCTTATAAAAACCCAAGGACTRTGGGCAGATGCAAGATTAGCCCATCAGGTATTACCCTCAATGGTCTTACACTTAACCTCTCAGCCCATAAATGCTTCTTCTAGAATTTGAACCTCCTACCAGCCAGATACCCAGGAGGAAATCAGATATGGAAAATCTATGGGTGTAATCTTTTCCTCAAAAGTGCGATTGGGTAGTCCTAGAGTAGAAAGATGTGTTTCTAAAACTTAGAAGTACATTTTTTTTTGATAAATGTAAAACTTAGAAATACATTTAATATGCATATTATTATACTTAAAAGAGACTTGTCAGAAAGCTGTGGGAGAGGCATCAGAGTTTCTAGTTACATTGGGATTTCCACCAAGGTTTAGTATGTACTATTTAGTTCTTATTTATTTGCACTAATCATCAATGAATTGACTACACATTCTGGAGGAGGTCCCATGATGCTTCTTGGTTGCTGATGGCATAGTATTAATTGATGAAACAAATGAAGGATTAAATGCAAAGTTAGGTTTATGAACAACGGTCTTCTAAGTGCAAGAAACAACAAACGGTCTCTAAGTCATCTATTGAAGTGGAGTATAGGGCTAGTCTTATGTTTATAGTGAGATCGTTTGGTTAAAATCTCTTTTATATGCTCTTGGTTTTAGTGTTCCCACTCCTACTCTCTATGCTAATAGCACTAGTGCCATCAAAATTGCTTTTAATCTAGTATTTCATGAGAGGACTAAACACATTGAAGTAGACTGTCACTTTATCATGGATTTGATTCTTGTTGGCTCTATCACTCTTTCACATGTAGCCTCTGACATGAAGATAATTGACATTTTCACAAAGGCTATGACTAGATCTAGGCATCTCTTCTTTGTTAGCAAATTGATGTTTGTGTCGGCACATTAGTTTGAGGGGGAGTGTGGAAATATTAGGAATTAAGGGTATAGTATATTATATTACTATAGTCCCTATTGTACATTAACTTGTTTATTTTTTATTCTTTTTCTCTTGTGCCTTGTAAGGGCGTTCTTGTAATTGTACATATCTTATATCAGTAATATATATTTGGCTCTTTGGGGGCGGCGGTTGATTCATTCCAAACATCCCTTTATTCTGTTTGTCTATTTCTTTCTTAGCTAAAACCCTAGTGTACAACTGGACTGATTGACATAAAATGGTTGTAAGGGCAGCAATGTTGTATGGAGTAGAGTGTTGGGCAGTCGAGAAACAATATGTCCATAAAATGAGTGTGGCAGAAATGTGAATGTCAAGATGGATGAGTGGAAAACTAGAAATGATAGGTCAGAAGTAGACTCATTAGAAGGAAACCAGGATTAGCTCCAACAGGTGATAAAATGAGGGAAAAATAGACTAAGATGGTTTGGTCACGTGCAGAGAAGACTACCYAAGGAACTCATAAAAAGTGTTCTGTTACAAGTTGAAGAGGCCAGAAGAGCTAGGAGCAGACCAAAAAGAACATTGGATTGTAGTAAGAAATGGTTTAAGGGCTCGTAATTTAAAAATTGATAGGCACTGCACAGAATGGAACTGCAGAACAGGATTCATGTAGCCAACCCCACATTGTTGGGAAAAGTCTTAGACGATGATGAGACTAGTGAGAAGGTTCTTTGCAGATAAATTATCTAAGTAGAATTAAATGGTCCACACTATGGCATATCCTTGTCATATCCTGTTGGGCTTGGTACTTTAGGGAACATTCACAGTTTGTTTGTAGAGCAAGAAGTTATGATTTCTGGGTTTTTATGATTCTAGAAGGTCAAATTATCTGGATTTATCCTTCAGGTTCCATTCCTTATCCTTTCCAAGAATCACTTGAATTTATCTTTGCAGGTAAATCTCCATCACTTTTTTTTCTTTAGAAAATCTGCAATTTAATACATAAAAGATTTTAGGGGTTTGTGTTTCTCATCTTTCTCCTTCCCTTGTTTCTTTGCATGTTGAATTATAGAGTGCTAGACTGCATTTATCTGAAAATAATCATCTAAGACAATTTCAAGTATAACATTTAAAGTATTATATACTTGTCAAGGACATTTCATTTTAAGCAATTGAGAGTGTCTAACTTAACAAGAAATATGTGAATTAAGCAAGTTTGCATCCAAATAGATCCATACTAATTCATTTAGCCATTCCAATGATTTAGGGTTTTTTCCATTTTTCTTGTGAAATATTTTTCCTCTCTTAAGGTTGGACCAAGCATTCCATGGTGCTGATTCTGGGTGTACCAGGTCAGACTAGCTGGTTGATTTCTACTTTTGGGATGCCCAAAATGACATGGATGCCTCTATAGCTTCATTTTAGAATGTATTGGACTTACCATACTTCATAGTAAAAAGTACTTCATTGACATTAATTAAGCTTTTTAATGGTAAAGCAGGTAGGTGTGACATTCAGGTGACTGTAGATATCCCAGAAGGTACTGAGCTTGCAGCACCACTAGAAGAAGTCTGTATCTGGCGACAAGCAAGAGGATCTGCTGCTGAAGTTTCAGGATCAAATGGTGTTTCAATATCTTCAGAGAAGGTTTCCACCTTTTCATTTTTTTGGAGCTTTTATGTACATATATACATACACTGATATAGATATAACTACATATACATATTATTGTGCATGGGAAGTGCATCCGTGTATGCTTTACATACAACATACATACATATTCATGCATCTATGCATGTAGATAAGTGTTTTTTTGTACGTACATACGAATGTATTACATGTTTGTATATGTATTTATGTCGCTTTGTGCTTGGGTTACATATTATGTACATAAATATTTGCACAATTATGCAAAATATGCATGACTGAAGTACTTCTACACATGTATGTGCATACATTTCTGTGTGTCTACAAGTATATGCTGGCACTCAAACCCATTTGATTCACAGGGTTTAATATAAATTTGGTAAGAGGCTTTAGAAAACAATTATAAGTGCATACCAACTAATAAAAAATGTTAGAAGACTATAGAAGTTAATTTGAAGGAAAAATGGCAAAATATCATTTAATGACCATATTACAATATTCAAGTAATTATGAGATTTTAGGGGTGAAATAAAGGATAATAAATACAAGACTAAACTAAACAAAAATGATGGAAACAAAAAAAAAGACCCTAAGAATCCTACCATGAACTTTGCCTTATGCTTGTTACTACGATATCCAATTTTCAATTGAAAGAACTTTTTGTTGATGAATTCATTTGAAAAAAGAATTAAATTGAAGAAATGAAATGACGGGTCTTGCTTGCTAATGTGGTTCCCTAGATATTTATATATTGTGTGTATATGCTATATATTTACATTATTATGTACACTTAGAGTATATTTACAACATATGTATATATGTTTGATCAGGTTGACACTCATGCTCAAACATGTATTAAAATAAATATATTATGTTTGCTATGCATATACATGTATCCTTTTTCCTGACTACATAGAATCTGTATACATTGTATTATGTTTGTAGTGGTTCTGTATACAGTGTAAATATATATAGAAGTGCATAAACATGAGTAAGAAGACTTTCTAATATCTAACCTGACCAACCTGACCAGGACCAAGGAGGAGGTGGTTTTTAACCATAGGTTATTGTGGTCATTTGCATTTTTTTTTTAATTTCTAAAATAAATATATGAGATATGCCAGAAGGGAGAGGAGAAAGGTCCTGCAAGCACAGAATTGAGAGGACTCCTCACCTCCCACCCTTCTCTCTATTATACTACAGATACAGAATTCTAGCAAACAACGTTATGCAACTCTTAGATACCTCACCCAATAGACATGGTGGGATCCATGAGAAGGCCATATTAGACATTACAAAATAAAATTAGGGATGCTCCCTGCCGTAGACTGCAACTTGGGTTTGGTTGGGTTGTGAAATTCTTCATGTCAGGCAAGCTGACTGGCAGCACTGTCCCACCTTGTATATAAGAAGAGGTATCCAAGAGTTTTTACATATAAATATATGTGATTCTGAAGAGTTCAGTTCTTGTGTGGCTGCAGGTAGGTGTTGCTCAACAGTGGTTTGATGAGTTGGATAACCTAGCATTTTCAGAACCTGGTTCAGAATCAAACATCCAAGAGGAAACTGATTCTTCAGATAGAAATTTTCAAGATGAGAAAGTAGTGCACATTGATTCTGCCGTCAATATTAGTCCAGGAACAAGCGAGGTATGCTTATCCATGTAATTTCCTCAATAATTGCAGTGTTTCAGAAGCAACTAAATCATCACTGAGGATTGATGATTATCCCAGTTACATTCTTTTCAATCCTGTCAATGAAATATGAGTAAGAGAAATCCAAATGGAAGACAAATGGACTTTATCTGGAGAAGGTCTTCTCCATTGCCTATACCTTGAAAGAAGCCTGCACCATCTTTTTTTTATATAAATCGTAGCTGTAATGAGGGTTTTAGAAGGTAAGATTTGTTTTTTATACAACTTAACCTTCTTTTATGTCTATTTGTCAGCCTGGTAATCCTCTCAAATGGAAGTAGACATATTCCATTTGCATATATTGTATTTAACAAATAAAACATGGTATCAGAAGAAAAACTGCCTTTTGAAATGAAAGGACTGTTTAGAATGTTGCAGAGAATCAATAGAAAGTAGCAGAAATCAGGTTTCAAGAAAAGAGGAGGAAGAAGGTGGTGGCAACTAGGGTTCAGAGAGAGAATTTCAAACATAATCTCCTCTTACACCCCTAATCCCATTTCATTAAGTTAAACTTTAGTAATTTATAGAGAGGCCCTTGGTTGGGCATAAAATTAAAAACATAACATGAGAAAAATAAGGGCCCAGATTAAGGCCCATTACAACAAAGAACATAAAAAGATAAAGAAGGATAAACAGCCTATGGGCCATTTGGCCCATCTTCTCTACACTTCCCCTCAAGCTGAGCATAGATGTCAATCATGCTAAGCTTGCCAGTATCATGCTGAAGTTTAGCCTTGGGAATGCCCTTGGTGAGGAAATCAGCTAATTGTCCTTCAGAAGTGATGAAAGGTAGACACACTTCTCCAGAAGCCACTGTTTCTCGAATGAAGTGTCTGTTAACTTCAATATGTTTGGTTTTGTCATGTTGCACTGGATTGTGAGCATTGTTGATGGCAGCCTGATTATCATAGTATAACATCAATGACTTATCATGCTCAATACCCAGTTCCTCCATCAAGGATCTAAGCTATAGTAGTTCAAAAATTCCATGAGCCATGGCTCTATATTCAACTTCAGTTGAAGATCTGTCAACAATTGATTGTTTCTTGCTTTTCTAGAGACTGTATTGCCTGCCACCAAGCTACTTATCCAAAGGTAGATCTTCTATCATCAATATTTTTGGCCCAATTAGCATCTGTGTAGGCTTCAAGAGTCATATGACCATGCTTAGCAATTAGAATTTCCTTTCCAGGAGAACCTTCAAATAACACAGAATCCGCTCTACTGCTGCCATGTGAGTGTCCCTGGGAGCATGCATGAACTAACTAATGCAACTGACAGCATATGCAATGTCGGGACAAGTCATGCATAGATAGAGAAGTTTCCCAAGTAGCCTCTGGAAGACTCCCGTATCTTTCAACAATATTCCATCTGAAGCAGAGAGTTTATGACTCGTATCAATAGGAGTAGCAACTGGTCTAGCACTCATCTTCCCTATTTCAGAGAGCAAGTCAAGTACATATTTTCTTTGAGAGATAAGGATCCCATCCTTGGATCGAACAACTTCTATGCCAAGAAAGTATCTCAATTCCCCCAGATCTTTGATCTCAAACTCTATWTGAAGGAAATATTTGAGATCATTAATCCCTGATACATCATTACCAGTCACAACAATATCATCAACATACACAATTAGATAAATTGTCAAGGATCCTCTCCTCTTCACAAAGAGATTTCTTCAGCTTACAGACCTTCCCTTTCATATTTGTTTCATACATCCCTGGAGGAAGAGACATATAGACCTCCTCATGTAACTCTCCATTCAGAAATGCATTCTTTACATCCAACTGGTAAAGTGCCCAATCTGAGTGTGCAGCCAGAGATAGCAGAACTCTCAAAGAAGTCAACTTGGCAACAGGAGCAAAGATCTCCAGATAATCAATCCCATATGTCTGTGTATAACCTTTTGCAACCAGCCTTGCCTTGTACCTTTCAATGGTGCCGTCAACATGATATTTGATGGTAAAAATCCACTTACAGCCTACTGGATCATTCCCTTCAGGTAAATCAACCACTTCCCAAGTGTCATTCTTGTGCAAGGCATCAATTTCTATTCTCATAGCATCCCTCCATTTTGGAATAGTAAGAGCTTTTGACATAGACCTGGGAATTGGGTTAGAAGCAATAGAAGAAATGTAGCCAAAATATGGAGAGAACAAACTCTAAGAAAGGTGTTTGGAAATGCAATGTGCAGTACATTTCTTTTTTCCTTTCCTAATAGCAATAGGGATATCAAGGTCTGGAAAGGATGACTCCAAAGGGGTTGTATCAGTACCTATTGTCTTTTCTGTGGCTAGAAGTGCAGGAGGCTCGTGTGGTGTAGGGGAAACAATCTGGTCACTTCTAGTTCTCTGCCATTGGTACAACCTGGGATTAAAAAGAGGACGAGGAGGTAAAGGAGGAGGGATAGGAACACTGGAATGAGAATGAAATGATTGATCCTCCTTTGACTCATTTGAGGGAGGAAGAGTCTCAAAAGAAGACTCAATTGGGACAGGAAAGGGGAGAGCAAACAACTGTGACAAATTCTCTGAGAAGAATCATAAAAGGAAGATAGCTCATCAAAGGTGACATCCATTGAGACATACCGAGTTCCAGTCTTTGGATCAAAACAACAATAACCCTTTTGTGTGGGGGAATAACCAAAGAAAATACACTTGTGGGCTTTTGGTTCAAATTTATGTCTCTGGACACTTGGGATATGTACATAACAAGTGCAGCCAAAGACACGGAGTGGAATAGGAAAAAGGTCCTTGCCCGGATGAAGAAGACTAAAGGGAGACTTGAACCCCAAAACCTTGGATGGCATACGGTTGAAGATTGCAGTGAGAACAACATCACCCCAAAATTTTGTAGGGACATGTGAGGCAAATAGGATACTTCTTACAACTTCAACAATATGCCGATTTTTTCTTTCAGCAACTCCATTCTGTTATGGGGTCCTAGCATAGGAGCTTTGGTGAATAACCCCCAAGTCAGTGAGATAGCAGGTTAGGTTTTTCTCAAAATATTCTTTTGCATTGTCGGATCTGAAAATTTTAATTCTGGTATCAAACTAGGTTAGAACAAATTTATGGAATTGCCTCACAAGTCTAGGAACTTCATCACGAGACTTCATAAAAATTATCCAAGTGAACCATGAAAAATCATCAATGAACAAGATGAAATATTTGTAGCCACTCATAGAAGGTAAGTGGTAAGGCCCCCACACATTAAATTGCACAATATGGAATGGAGAAGATCTTTTATTACTTAAAGGATAACTGCTTCTACAATGTTTTGGCAACTCACAAGACTCACAATGAAGACTGGACAGACTAATTCCCTTGAATAGTTCTGGGAATAAATGACTTAATGCAGAAAAAAAAAAGATGACCCAAACGAAAATGACATAACATGACTTGACTAATAGGCTCTGTAGATGTAGATCCAAAAGCAGCTTTTCCAGGTTGTCCATGGCTTTGTCTAGGAGTGTCCAACAGATATATTTCATTCGCCTCATGGCCACTCCCAATCACTTTCTGAGACTACAGATCTTGAAAAACACAGTAGGAAGGAAAGAAGGTTACACAACAGTTCAAAGACTTAGTTAGGCTACTTACAGATAACAAATTTGTATTTAGCTTGGGTACATGAAGAGTAGAAGGAAGTACAAAGGAATTTGTAGCCTTGATGGTTCACTTGCTGGAGATAGGGGCGAGAGAGCCATCGGCTAGGGTGATTTTGTCACGGCCAGGAAGTAAATCATAAGAAACAAACAAAGTGGAAAGGCTGGTCATATGATTAGAAGCACCAAAATCAATAATCCAAGGGATCCTACGATTACCTAAAATAGTTGCATGATTGGCAAAAGCCCATGTACCTGAATGAGCAAATGCAGAAGAGGTTGAGTTTCCTGGAGGGTTGGAAGAAGAGGCCACACCCTCTAGGTGACTGATCATCCTTCCAAACTTCTCATACTCTGCCTTCATAGCTGCTAACTGCTCACTAGCAGTCTTCTCTTCAGTTAGGCATCTGTCACTATCTAGACCAGCAACAATACTGGCACTCCCTGCCTTCATATTATCAGACCTTTTGAAACTGAAGAGGAAGAAGCTCAGGATGCAATTTCCAACACTTGCCTTTAGTGTGTTTTGGTTTCTTACAATACTCACAAATAATTTCTTTCTTCCCTAAGCCACTTGCAGTTCCTATAACTCCCTTAGGTTTCACTCCCATATTAGCAAAGTGATCATTTAGACCAGCCCCTTGAATCTGGACAAGTCTCCTGCTTTCTWCACTACTTACCAAGGCATAGGCTTGAGATAATGAAACACTATCCTTGGATAAGATATTTTGCTTTGTGATGTCATACTCTGGATTCAGCCCTGTCAAAAACTCAAACACCCTATTTCTCTCAACAAGTTTCCTGTAGGTCTCAGCATCATTAGAGGTGTCCCAGGCTACAGGTTCTATCAAATCAATTTCTTGCCATAGAGACTTCAGTATTGAGAAATAAATAGCTAAAGGTTTCTCCCCCTGTCTCAAATTCTTCACATCACTCCTCAGCTTGTAAGCCCTGGCTACATTTAATTTCTGGGAATAGGTTTCAGCAACACTATCCCAAATTTCCTTTGCTGAATTCATCCACAAATAGTGTTGACTAATTTGAGGTTGCATTGAGTTCACAAGCCAACCAATAACAGTATAATTTTCTTGAATCCATTTTTCATATGATGGGTCATTTTCCGAGGGAGCCTTTTTGCTTCCGGAGATAAAACCCCATTTGCCTCTACTGCAGATATGAATTTTTATTGATTGTGACCAAGCTAGATAATTAGTTCCATTTAGCTTGACTGTGGTCACAACCAGTAGAGAGTCAACAGAGGCTCCCAGAACTTGTTTGAATTCAGCAACATGCTTGTTTTCAATTTCTGAAGGGTTCATCTTCTTAAAATACTTCAAAAATAACTTCTGACAACTTCAAATAACAATAAATGAAGATAGAAGAAAACCTATGTTGTTAGTCAACCTCTATGCAGTTGTACCTGCTACCTCTGTCACACTCGGAACCCGAGAGAAACAGAGAAATCTCAGCCGCACCTTGTAGACTTCACAGAACACTAATCCACTTGAATCGTTCTTCAAGATGAAGGATAAGAAGACTTTCAGTCATTGAGCGCCCAGGTAAAACTCCCTATGGAGCCCGCAATCAGATTTATCCAGAAAATTAGGGTTTCGGGCAACACACTTGAATCTGTCAGGAGGACGACAAAACCAGTCCCCTTCTCTCCAAAAACCACTAACAACTGGGCTGAAACAGGTTTCTTTAACTACTCATCCGATTCAGTTCTCCATACACTGTGTATGGGAAAAAAGAGGTGAAAAGAGAAGAAGCCTGCTCTGATACCAAGAAGAAAAACAGCCTTTTGAAATGAAATGACTGTTTAAAATGTTGCAGAGAATCAATAGAAAGTAACAGAAATCAGGTTTCAAGAAAAGAGAAGAGGAAGAAGAAGGTGGCGGCAACTAGGGTTCAGAGAGAGATTTTCAAACTTAATCTCCTCTTACACCCATAATCCCATTTCATTAAGTTAAACTTTAGTAATTTACAGAGAGGCCCCTAGTTGGGCATAAAATTAAAAACATAACATAAGAAAAATAAGGGCCCAGATTAAGGTCCATTACAGCAAAGAACATAAAAAGATAAAGAAGGATAAACAGCCTATGGCCATTCAGCCCATCTTCTCTACAGCATCCATTCTGTTCTTTCTCGTGCAAGAAACATGGTATTATTATCATGTGATTAAGGTTTATTCACATATTTTGTATTTGCTTTTCTGGAAAACAAATCATACAAGTCGGATTTTACCACAAGTTTGGAAGCAGCTAAACATTTTCTTTCTTGCACCTTTCTTATTTTGGATTGTACCAGAAGTTTGTTAACATTCCATGAACAAGTTGGACATAAAAGATTCATGAGAGGTTTGAAATTTTAGCTTCACAGGCAGTTTTTCATTCTTCTTTTATATACATGTTGATGTGCTAACAAAGCCTTGTTGGTAGCTCTCGCTGGACATTTGCTTCCTATGTCATGCAAGTGGTGAAACTATGCTTCACTTACTAATCTCCTATCCTTTTACTTTGTCCATTTGGGAATATTTCTTCTCTTTATTTGGTTATATGTGGAGTCATCCAGGGGATGTCAAAAGCGTTTTCAATTCTCCATTCTTCTCTTCCCCTAAGAAGAGAGATAAATGGTTATGGGGATGTGTAAGAGCTGCTATCCTTTGGTGTGTATGGGAAGAAAGGAATGCTAAAATTTTCAAGGAGAGATTTCAATCTAAGGAAGCCATCATAAAATGATCTTGGGTAAGGTAGGACATTGGGTAAAGTTGTTGGATCTCTCTCTGTTTACAACTCAAGACAATATTTGGAATTGGCAAACAGAGGCTAGCTCTTCATCTTCCAGGAGAATAATAAGAAAGGTGTGGAGATCACCTTCCCCAAACTACGTCCAAATGAACTTTGATGGGTGCAGCCTCGGAAACCCAAGGGAATATGGAGTGGGAGGTGCTTTTAGAAGTCATGAAGGATATATCATGGCTATATTCGTGGTCCCCATTTGTTATGGTAACTCCATTAGAGCACAGTTAGTGATCCAACAAGGGTTAAAGTCACAGGAATTCATTAGTGGAAGGAGATTACATATTATTGGCTAGCTGGTGAAAAAATGGAGGGGAATAATCATGGCAGAATGGGAATGAGATCTGAGAAATGAAGAAGTTGAAGATATAGTTGGGAATTACTTACACGTGGACTCCAAGATCAGCTAATAGTTAAGTTGATGCTTGCAAGACAACGAGTGGGTAGGAAACAATTATTTTGGAAGTGACCCCCCAAGCATGGAAGCTGGGGTTAGACTATTACTGTGGTGTGGAAAGCTGTGGCTTATCTCTTTGTACAGCATTCTTTACATAATAATTAATAAAGTTTTCTTAGTTCCACATCGAAATAAAAAAAAAAGAAAAAAAATAACACAGCATCAACAAAGTCTTGACCCACCTACATGTGGTCATTTACATGAATTCTGTTTCAGTTTGTATGGACAAACTCATGGTTAGGAATTTCTTTACATCATGAACAAGTCCTGCTCATCTCGTGGTGGCACTTCCTATAGAAGCAAAACCTGGCTGAGTTTTGTAAGGCCAGCCAGATTTCCTTTCTGACAATGATAAACAGTAACTCTTAGATTGACCCAGAAACCCCATACTAATCATCATATGGTGTGTTTTGGTCTATGCTGTTGCATTTTTGTAGTCTCTTCAATCATACTGACCCAGAAACCCCATACTAACCCTAGCTCTCCCTCCTACCTACGAAAAGACGATAAGAAACATGTTGAACATTTCTTTGGTAGGTTCACATAAGTTTATGTTGTATCAATTGTTTTCTTTTTGGATATAAACCATGTTAGTTTTATGTACTGTATTTATTTCTTTAGTTATTTTATATAAGCAAATATTCTGAGTTTTCAGCGCAACAGGTTTCATATAGTTCCTTTATTTATTTATTGAAGCTATGTAGATCTGATGCAATCTATTGGAAATTTTGGTTCAGGTTATAATTTATGCGGTGCTGTATTTAAAGCTGAGCAGAGCTTGGATGTCTGCTGGAGTCAATCAGGAGAATAAAGCACAAAGATTATTAGATATCTTGAATTATGATAGAAGCGGAAAGAAAGGAAGAGATTCATCAATACAACTGATGTTAAAGTTGGACAGAGATCTTGGAGATGTCACCTTCATGAGACCTCTGCACCTAAGGATAAGGTTGGAGTGTCGCGACCATCCAGTGCCTGATAGATCAAAAGAGGTTATCTTAACCGATTCTTCTCTCGAGGTTAAAGTGTCTCTTGATTAGCTGATTTTTATTGCTTTCAATTATCATTTTTGACTGTTATATTCTATGTAACTTTTGTGTAATATGCCTAATTATTAGAAAAATTCATTTTAATCAAGTAATAGTAGTTTTGCTTAATTTTGTTTTCTAACATATATACTTCACAATGGAGTGTTAAATTGATTTAAAATTCTTAGAGCTGCCGTAACCAGACTGTTAGCATTGGTCTGCAAGTTATATTGATACATCCCAATCTGATGAAATAATATTTAAGGTTTGAGAGAGAGAGAGAGAACTACTTATTTCTTTTAGGGTACTAATTTTCATCAATTGACTTAAACATACCCTGAGTTTTTCAATTGGATAATATAGCTTTTGTCCATAAAAGACTTTTTTAGCCTTCATCTTTCTTCAAATTTCAAAGAATCAGAAGGCACCACCGGACAGACTAAACCGGAGTAGCRGCCACCTACATTCCAACCCTCCCCCCTTCTCTCTCTATCTCCCCCCGAAGTTCAGGAGGATGATGAAAACACAAGGCATAATCTAATTTCAGAATTAGAAGACTCAACTAAGATGGGGGTTGGTGGCATCAATCTGTTAACAAACAAAATAAGTGTTAAACCCGAAAGAGAAAATTAAGCCCATTGAGGCATTGTTTTAATTTGTATTTTGCATGCAGCACAAAAATATGGAAATATGGATTATATAAATATTTTCAAATGAGGGTTGCATAATCTAATTTCAGAATTAGAAGACTCAACTAAGATGGGGGTTGGTGGCATCAATCTGTTAACAAACAAAATAAGTGTTAAACCCGAAAGAGAAAATTAAGCCCATTGAGGCATTGTTTTAATTTGCATTTTGCATGCARCACAAAAATATGGAAATATGGATTATATAAATATTTTCAAATGAATATTTTTCATTATACACAACTTTATTGATGCTAAATGACGTGAGTGGGTAGCAAGAGATTGGCAGTTTGTTTAATTTTTTCTGTTGCATTGATAATTTCTTTCTGATGTGTTAAGGGTGAATATATTAGTAGAGATGCTAGTTCTCGTGTAAAGGGTGAATATATTAGGATTCTTTTGTTCGGTAAGAGAAAGATTAAAAAAAAATCAACATGTATTGACTTGTTTCGGCTGATACGTATCATATCTGGAGCATCCAGTACACCCCTACAGGGGGTGTATTGGGGTTTTGACAGCAGGTTCAGGGGGTGGAGAAACTTTAAACCGGCCCCTCTGAACCAGATTCGAAAAAAAGGTTAAAAAAAGTAAAAAAAAAAAAACAGTAATGATACTACCTAATACGCCTACCGTATCAGGCGTATCGATATTTAAACTAGTAGGAACCCGTGCGATGCATGAGATTTGTTAAGTTAAAGATAAATCATAGAATATGTAAGAGTATATAATTGTTTTATATAATGATTAATAATCATCTATATTTTATATACTATTTTTAATAATTTTTTTACAATACAAAAATAACAATATTAATTTTAGATAGGGTTGTTTCTCAAACTAATGGATGGCAATTTTCCCTACTTTCCCGATCCCCATGGGGATTTGGCCCGAATGAGACAGGGGTGCGGATGATTCCCCTCCCCCCCCCCCGTGGGGACGGAGATGGGGAAATTTTCATCCTCATTGGCAGGGATGATGTGGGGACAGGGAGAGAACTCCCCGCCCTGTGTGGAGCCCGATCCCCGTTAATATATATGTATTTATATGCATATGTTTATATATGTATATATATACACAAATGTTTATATGTTAATAATTTTAACAATATTTTTATTTTTGAACAAAATAAAAAACAAAAACATAATGATTGACATTATAATGAATCATGGAGAGTGGGGATCCCCATTTAGACGGGGATGGGGATTTTCGTGGTGATGGGAATGGGGAGAGGCTCCTTACCCCTGCCCTGCTCTGTTGCCATTTCAAATCAAACTAATAAAATGGACCAACCTGATTTCTAGTATTTCCAATCAACTTTGGTTCAACAATTTCCCAACCTAATTGGGTTAGAATTTTTAATTGGTATAAATTAAATTAGTTATTTTCAATATTATTGAACTATTAATACATAATTTTGTTATTTAAAATATTTAAAATCTAGTTATGTTAAATTTTCATTATTTAAAATATTTAGTTATTTAATTAAATATTCRAAATCTTAATTTATTTATTATAATTGAAAGTTATTTAGTAACTATTTAAAATATATTATTAATGGATTTAAAATATTAATTTTAACATTTTGTTATTTAAGATATTTAGTTATTGAAATATTTAAAGAATATTTTATTTTTAATGTTAGATTTTTATTATTTGAATAACATTTAGATTGAATAATCCAAAAAATCATAATTTATATTGTTTGTACATAATTTTGTGTTAATAATATGAATATTATAAATCGATTTATAATTACTTTTTGTGTTTTTAATAAATATTTTAAGTTATTATATAATTTTGTTAGAATATTTAAATAATTCTTAAATTTTTTAATTCCAACCTTTTTAGATAGATGTAGATAAAAAGTGGGGAGAAGATAGAAAAGAATTAGAGATAATTTAAGAGAGAAACTCTCTACTAAATTAGAGATAATTAAGAGAAAGTTGGGGATAGTGGGTGAGGTTATTTAGGAGAAATTTTAAGATATTAGATTATTTAGGTTATTGAAGCCGAGGAGAAAGAGAGAGTAGGYCTGTAAACAAATGAATTCGAATCGAATATGGCTTGATTTGAATTCGAAACCGATTAAACTAGGGACGATTCGAATTCTATTTGATATTCTGACAGTTTTTTTAAATAATCATCCGAGTTCGAATTCGTTGAATAAGTCGAATATCTGAATTCAATTTGAATTTGATTGGCTACAATATGTTAAGTTTAACCACTCAAACATAACTTAACTAAACACATAAAATGAATTCGATTGGAAGAATATCGGAGAAGTCGAGGATAAAGTCTACAACCGGGAAGAACAGAAACGTTGAGGGGAAAGTCTGCAACCGGGAAGAACGGAGATGCTGAGGAGAAAGTCTACAACCGTGAAGAACATCGCAGACGTTGAGGGGAAAGTCTGCAACCGGAAAGAACGGAGTCGCTAAGGAGAAAGTCTACAACCGGGAAGAACGGAGTCGCTGAGGAGAAAGTCTACAACCGGGAAGAACATCGGAGACACTGAGGGGAAAGTCTGCAACCGGGAAGAACGGAGTCGTTGAGGAGAAAGTCTGCAATCGGGAAGAACATCGAAGACGCTAAGGGGAAGTCTACAACCAGGAAGAATATTGGAGATGCTGAGGGAAAGTTTGCAACCGAGAAGAACGGAGACGCTGAGGTCTGCAACCAGGAAGAATGGAAACGTTGGGAGAGGATGGAGACGACCAGAGACAAAGACGATGAGGAAAGGATGGAGACGATGTGAAAACAGTAAACTGAAAAGGTAAAGCTAAAAGATAGGGCCGATGGGCTGTCGGCGGGCTTCTCCTACAAAATATTAAAAAATTAATTTTTATTTCAAAAGGTAATGATAGCTTCTGTTTTCATTGTCTTTTCACTCACTTTTTATTATTAAAATAACATTATATTGAGTGATTTTATCGAAAGTCATTATGAATTGTACTTCTTAATATATTTCTTTATAAGAAATCAATATTTATGAATCATATTGTGAAATAAATATATAATTTATAATATTGTAATCGAATCGGATGTTTATGGAATCAAATCATATTATATCCGAATTCGATTCGACTAACTAATCGATACAAAAGCATATTTGAATTCGGCCATTTTTTCAATTCAAATATCCAAATTCGATTCGTTTAATTCGGATCTCGAATTTGAATTCAAATTTTCGAATACCCTTTACAGGCCTAGGAGAGAGAGATATTTTAGGAAGATTTTTTTTGAAAAAAAAAAATAGTTTTTATTTTGTAGTTTTGAAAATGATATGAATTAAAAAAATTAAAAATGAGAAAATTCCTAGATTTCCTTGATTTAATTTACATATATAGATAACTAGGAATCTGATTTTTCTCAGCTAAAACCCACCTCACAGTACTTGCAGCCATGCATTAAGAACATCCCCATGATCTGAGGGGGTTGTGAGGAGGAAATCTCTAGCTGTGCATGCAGCAGATTTTTCTGACTCCTAACATACATGGTATAAAAGGCATGTGATGTTAAGATGTTTTGGGCCGTTTGCAATGTTTTAAAAACCGACCCATAATCAGAGCTATTTTGTGCACCAATTTTTGGGTTAGCAGTTTGACCATCCAGTCTAAATGATATCGTAATTTAAAAATTATAAGAGTAAAATACAAAAATACTTTGACGAAACTATACRGTAATCATGGCTTACTGTGTTAGAAAAAAAAAAAGCACGTTCTGACTATAAACAATGGATACAAAATAAAATTGTGTAGCAGATAGATCTGAACATGTCTTTTCTCATCAAACTTTTGAAGGGAAATAACCATGGACTAGCTTGATCTTGAGATTCCACTGACGAGCTTGCAAGAGCACCATGCCGATATGATTCCGGTACTTTTTGCCACCAAATCAGATCACATGCCTTGTCAGAATCACTTCCCCAACATGAAAACTATAGATTTCGATGCTTCCATTTTTCGAGAGATTATCTCTTTGATTTTATAAGTAATCGTGAAGCAAGTCATTTTCTTCTTATTGATTTTGCCCAATAGCCGATTTCTCATTCTCCTTTCTTTCTAAAATTGTTTTAGTTCGTTGGCACAGTTCTCCTGCAACTTTGATCGGTTCATATACCATATCTCTCAGTCAATTTTCTTGTCGTTCTGATAAGCAAGATAAAAGTTCGCCAAGTTTTGGCTGACGAAGATGAAGAATACAGACTTCTTATTGCCTGATTTTCAAGTAGAAAATAAAAAGGGTATCTTTTCTATATTATATAGATACAATGGTTGGGTTGTAGATTCAAAGGGAAAAAATAAAAGAACAGGAGAGAGAGAGAGAGAGAGCAGGGAGATTTTAAAGTTGTGGGGTCGGTGGTGCATGCAGAAAGTTCCCATATGGGTGCCGAGAATCCTTTAAAAGGGTAGGATGGTCATTATGAAAAAATAATGCATCAATTGAACGTTTTCCG